AGGACTCTTTTATTGAAATCGTTCATCATTGGGTAATCTACATCACTCTGAGGAGAAAGCTACCTCGATCTGTTACCATGAATGTCGTCCTAATTTTGATTTCAAGGAAAACTCTATTTCGAAAACTGTTGCTATTTTGTAGTAACTCCCACGTTACGACTTTCTATTAACCTCGGCATTGATTGAACGATTCTCTCCACTTCTGTTCAGCAAACCACGATTGGGCCAAAATGGCAAGGGCTGCTGGTTTAAAACCATCAGTTATCTCTCAACTAAAAATTGACTTGCCAACATGTCCCATCTTGTACTTATAAACTCACTCATAAACTTAAAAACTCATAAGTTAGTATCCCGCGATGATCTTGCGTCTACCGATCCATCATTATTTAAAGTTAGACCTATCATTAGCTGTGTGGGTGGGCCAACGGACAGGATAACATGGTTCTTAACCCTAATATTTAACCAGATGTTGAAACACATTCCGGCCCATCTTACGAATACCCAAATGTTTCTGGATCGTCTACGTACTGCGCAACCCAGCAGCGCGTACGTGATGGAGTCCTTCGACGTTACCGCCCTTTATGCAAACGTGTCGAATGACTCCGCAATGCAAGCCATATTCCAACTCCTTCTACAACACGAAAGAGAAATAAACATGTATGGCTTCAAGATAGAGCAGTTGATGGCACTCCTAAAAGAATGCTTGAGCTGCTCAATCTCCAGATGGTCCGGAAAGTACTACGCTCAAATAAGAGGGTTGGCAATGGAACAACGACTGGCACCAAGTCTCGCCATTGCGTTTATGTCTAAGGCGGAAGCACCGGTGATTGATCTCGGGCCGCTACTCTACTGTAGATATATAGATGACTGTTTTGTCCTTTGCTGGACACAAGAGGAAATGGACAAGTGTCTTGAGTTGTTGAATAAACAGTCGGAGTATATCAAGTTCACCCGAGAGAAATCGAAGGAAAAATGGCTTCCATTCCTGAACGTCCAAATTAGCGTATCAGAAAATGGCTACATTACGAAGTGGTACCGAAAGCCAAGTAGTAAAAACATCTTGGTACAGTAACTCTCTTCTCACCCTTCTCCCAAGAAAAAGGCGCTTGTAAGAAACATGTTTCGAACAGCAACCAATGTGTGCACGGGAAGGGAGCAGAGAGAGGAGTCCCAGAACTTGGTGCTGCAAATAGCCATTTCCAATGGCTACGAAACTGTAGCTCGGGATAGGTGTAGGGAAAATCGGAGGCCCCAAACGATAACTCTAGCGACAAAATGGTTCCGTTTATCCTACCCTTCACCTCAAATAAAGTAGGTGCAGCGATATAACGTTGCTTAAAAAGGGCGAGTTTAGAGAATTCGGTAAACGTAGTTGAAATGCTACCGAGTAATCTTAGGCGCCAGCTAGTTCGTAACCGACTATATGACCGTCTATGTGCAATGCAAAATTGCATAATCTGCCCCAATGGTAAAGACGGTGATTGCATGAGCTCGGGTATATCTCCTGCAAGTGACTGGGATGTATATGGGAGGCGGTTAGGAGTCGCCTACAACAAATAAGCTCCATGTCCACTCTGGAAGAGCCTGGGAAGCCACCCGTGAGTATACCCACATTGGGACCCACGGATTAGAATAGAACGAACAAGGTGAGCAGCTCTCTGAATTTATCAGGGCGACCAAGACCATCCATGGTAACTCGCAATTCCAGAAGCCCCACATTCAACGCTGGACGTGGGAGTCTTCCAATGGAGAGTACCATAACGAAATACATCACGTCATAGTAAATAGAAAGTTTTGCCTAACCGATGTCGCTGTTGTCCCAAAATTCTAAACGGGATCAGACCATCGTCTCCTTCGTGCAAGATTCTATTTCTCGCGGAAAGGAGAAAAAGCCGCTAAATTCCAAAACCGAAGTCCCAGAACCACCGTGAACTGGGATTTATTCAATTCATTAGTCGGCTTTTAGGAAAAAAAAGTTAACATGTATTTAAATTGTTGAACTTACACGAGGTTGATAAATAGGTTTATTCTGCCAACCTATCGACGTCTTTATCTTCATCTTCCGGTTAGATGAGGTTCAGTTTGAAAATACTTTTCTAATCGCTATGCGCTAGCTAAAATAATACCGACTGTGGCAGGGTAGATTATCTGTTGAAGAATAAATCTCTATCAACAGTAACAGCAGTAATATCAGTAATATCTCAACAGTCATATCAGCAGTAATCGCTTCGTATAAAATACCACTGCAGTGCGAGCATGCCCTATTTATGCGGTTTTCGACTGAAGAAGATCCGTCTCGGTAGGACCACTAAGACGCCACATAAAAAAGACGAACTACTGTCTACCATTGGCACTGATCATTCTCTAGTTAACTCTAGCTTAACAACTCGAAAGACCGACTTTCTATGAACCTCGGCATAGATAGTTGATATATTTATTTATGTGATCTTATAAACTGATCCGCACGTAACATCACGGCTCTGAGGAAGGCGAAGTCGCCGAAACGTCAGCCATCGATCAAAAACATCAAAAACAACGACTACGACAACGACAACGGAGATCTGTACCAACCTCGCGTCAGCTTAAGAAGATCAGTTTATAAGATCACATAAATAAATATATCTAGCTTAACACTTAACTCTTAACTTAACACTCTAGTTAAGACGCAGACGTTGAAACGCCAGGCGAGTAAATCTATTTGTCAATTTATCAAATTCATGAAGCTCAACAATTTAAACACATGTCGATTGTTTTATTACTGAAGTTAAATGGCGGTTGGTTTGAAAATTGTCCTAAAGTTAACGCTGCTAATGGTGACTTCATAGAAAAGCCATCGTCCTAGCTGTAATTTCTTTAGTTTACGTATACATTCTATATCTTTCGTTGCAATATGGTGTTAGAGAAACGAAGACCGTTAGGGTATGAGTGCTGTACACCCTGTTCAACCGTAGCCGTCCGATAATTGTGACCACCTATTTGAAGCAACCCGTTTTCATTTTCAAGGTTATGGCATTGAGCAGAACACCAACTCTACACAAAAAATTCTGCAATACACGGCAAAACTAGTTTTTTGCGTTGCAAGGATAGATACGCTGATGGTCCCACGGAAGTCGCTGTATAGGCCAAACAGACGTTCAATCACCGTAGCAATGCTAAGAATGGGATAGAATGCGCCGCGCATTCCCATGCTAATGATCAAAGCTCTTTATTCCTTGTGAACAATATGTTGTGGATTGTGGAATCTCGTTTCGACAACATCATACTTTATAAATCATATATAGAGTTTCATTTCATGACGTCTTTGTTGACAATCGTGCTCATACGTCAACAAGTCCTTAACAGAGGGGAAATTCTCTTACTACTATACGTGCATTCTAAGTACAGATGGTTAGCGTAATCACTTCGGACTTAAATAGTCTAAGGCAGCCCTAAAATCTTAGCAATAGTGCAGCTTACTGGGCTTCTCTAGAGATTAAGAGTATGAAACTTTCTTAATATGCAGTAAACTCTCTACACTCTTTTTAGTGCGATCCTTCAGATATTTTCGGTAGTGCATTCCTTCGCCTGTTCCACCTCAAGCAACCTCTATCCATATTTGTTCGCTAACTTCACATACCAAACTTTGTTTTTCTTTTTAGTTAATTTTTTATTTTCTCTGTCATAAATAAATGCAAAGTGAGGAGCACCACAAATAAGAAACAAAATAGAGTTACAGTGACGAATAAATAGAAAATATTCTATCTTAGTATATAATAAGTGAAACACGTTCAATATAAAAGAGATAAAAAAGATGAAGCTCTCGGCGTTGATCAAACCCTGAGGGATGCGCCATGCATTCGATTTCATTTGGAGGTGACTGAATGCATACCTGGCCTATACAATGACTCGCGGTGGCCTACCGATGTATCGAGCCAATGCTGCTGTCCTTCCAGACAAGTTTGGTACCAATTTGCCAACCCCGGAGGGATGGAAGACTTGTTGAGCCACGAGCGAGGGGACTGATTCCACTTGTGTGTTGCGGGGGCTTACGACTGCTGCGCCACACGTGCCTTCTCGAAACGTGTTCAGTATAGATAGAACATATTTTAAAGACCGACTTTCTTTAAACCTCAGTAACAATAGTCAACGATTTTTCTATGCAATTGAGTTGATACGAAGTTAGAATGAAACTTTTACTCGGCTAACGTTTCGGCGCCTTCGAATTCTGATATCGGAGGGGCAGAACAGTTATCCGATTCGATTCATACCACATGAATGATAAGAGGTGATCCGTTGTGATAATCTAGTCGTAGAGCATTTGGCGTTTCATCATTATCAGCGAAACAATGAGAAGGAGGTCGTATGGTGTTCGGTTCGACTTTGACGCTTATCGAACGATCCGCAGCAAATCTGAACTTGAGCGCGCATCGATTCATTTGTCTTTACGCCGTTCGCTGTTTGTTTTTCCCACCTTCTTTCTTTCTTGTTCCTATATTCTTCTATATTTTATTCTTATATAATCATTCCATGGGAAAGCAGGCAGAGTCTGACAAATATCAAAATAGCGATGCTCTCAACTTCACCCGAGAACCGTCGTTGTGCACGTACAGAAATGAAGATCAGCGTTAAGAGTTTCCATCAAGGCATAAAACTACTTTTCACGCTGAATCTCTCCTTCCAAATAAACGCTTTTAAGTGTCATCTGCCGGGCTACAATATTCTTTGAGAATCTGACTTTCAGAGAATCAAATGGTAGATCAAATGCAAACATTTTTTGATTAAAAAAAACCCAGCACAGAAACTCGACCTCAGAAACGGACTTGGAAACGAAAGCGTTGGGGAAAATTCGTGGGAATAAAAGTGCTTTTGAAACAACTGAAGCCCATTCTAATAGAAGGACGGAGAAGAAAGGTGATCTTTAGAGTTTATTCAAAAGATAGCTTGCTTTGAATTCGGTTTTTAGAGATTCGCATTTTGTCCAGTTTAGGTAATTTGTCTGAAAATAGTTTTCTGGGAGATTTTCATACGTTTCCTGCGGCTTCTTCCTTCTTCGTCATCTCTGTTTGTGATTCTAGCGAGCGAACATACAATGTTGTGCGTGTAGACTGCGCCGCAGAGAGATTGACCATTGTCGTTTTTATACGATCGTCAGTCGCGGAATGTGTTCCCATATAGAAATGAGCGATGTTCGGTGTTAGGTGGTGCTGAATCACGTCGTGGACACGAATCATCAGAGCGCCCTCATCGGCGAATCCTGCCTCCGATTCAGTTGCCGTGATACGAGCTATTGAAAGGTCTTTTGATTCAGATGGATGCTAGCTATCAAAGAGATTTCTGGTTTAGATACCACATTACCAGCTACGGAAGGATTTTTTGATTCAGATGAATACCAGCTATCGGAGAACTTTCCGATTCAGATGCCACGATACCAAGTATCGAAGGATCCGGTTTAGTTTGCACCTTTTTGGCAAGTTGAAAGCAGGCTTCTTGCAAGCTGTGATTCCTGTAACGTTTGTCTGGATTTCGTTCGCTTCCTGATTGTTGGTCATAGTTCAAAAATCCTGTTACAATCAGGTTTTCCGATCAGAAGCGCGCTCTTGCCGAAGTTCTCATTAACAACACATAGATGATTTTCTTCTTCCGATGGGTGAGAGTTGTAAAAGCCATTCGCTGCAGTGGTTTCCCAGCCGGTAAGATCGCTTATTATTATTATTATTATCATTGCTATTTTTATTATTATTATTATTATTATCGCTATTATTATTACTCCTCCCAACGGTTTACCGCCTCATCGTGGCTGGGAGATGTTCCTGGGTGTCGGACTGCGATGTACAGCGGGAGGATTCATCCACCCGGCATGGTCTCCCAAGCTGAGAAGGAGTTCGGCGTTTCCATCAGGAAGCCTAGCTAAGAGTAAACCAATACCAGGATCCACCACCGTCTTGGTATAGAAGTCGCATGGTGGTAAATCTCTCTCTTATCCAGAAGGGCTGCGACTGCCTGTCGTGGTGACGACCTGGGGCAGGCTTTGGTCAGCCTGTCCTGGGGACTCCAGGGAACCATAATGGCTTAACTAATGACCGCACAACTAGTGTGAACGGGCCGTTCAAGTATTAAGTGTTATTGTCATTACTATCATTTTTATCACTACTTTTATTTTAACCTTTTTATTTATTGCCTATTCTTTTTAACGGCAGGGTATTTTGCGAAATATAACTACTATAATGCTGAGATATTTGCAATACAACAAGGAGAATAGCGTGTTCGTTCTCTACCGCAGATACATGCGGTCCGGAGTTTTGCAAATATCTTAGCATTATACTACTTTTATTTTTATTTCACGCGACCCTTCATCATAGTTAGTGCGCCGATCGCAATACTTCTAGCACTCGATTCGTCTTTACGCGTATTCGTCGTCCCTGAAAGTCTTCGGACATTTCGCGTGTTGTTTCGGCTGGTGCTTGAGGATTTCGTCTTCTTTATGAACGTCGTGGAATGTTGGTCGAGTCGATTCTCCTTGCAGTCTTGGTGATAACTGAGTTAGGAAGTTCCTAATTGAACTGGAAGAAAGGGTAGGGTGGAGGACGAACCAGCATGTTGCTTCCTTTTAGACTGCATCATTAACCACTGCGACATCCCCACACTCTTCATTATCGTAATTATTATTATTGTTTTTACTATTACTAATGCTATTATTATTGTCATTAATAATGTTATTGTTGTTATCAGATTTCTTATTTGACCCGCTTAACCGATCATCCTCCATCCTCCTATGTCCTTGCTTGATAGGTCATGTAGCCATGCTTGGAGAACCGGAGTCGGAACGTAGCTAACGTTCGCCACTTCCACATGAACCGACGAATGCCCGTGATGATGATCTAGAAATACCTTACAATAACTAATCTTGGGACTCCAAGTAAAATAGTAATCGACCAGCAATGAGTACGTCAATGATGAGAAAAGTTGGCGGATCGTCAAGCCGCAGCCAAATCCATGCATAACAGAATCGCCTCTATAGTTGTTGGTTCATAGACAACACAACAAGCGAAGGATGTGGTGGTTGCAATGCAAGAGAGCATGAGTCGTCTAAGTACGTATGCATTGCAGCCACAATGATGCTGAGATATTCGCAAATCTGCTATGACAGCATTAGGTAGAAAACTAGCTGAGAGAAAGGCAAGCCAAAGGCCTCAGTAGTGCAGTATGTAACACGTGAGCTCCCGGAAAGAGTAATCGCAGTCCTATCCGGTCCTCGGGTTCAAGTTTTGCAAATACCTCGGCACCATTATGCTTGTAATTCACATCATACCTTTGCGTGAAAAATTATAGTAGGAAGGAAATAAAAGGTTTACCTATGTGTTATTATCACTAGTCGAGCTCCCAATAGTATCGATCTCTTGTGTCTAATCGCATATTCTTCACTTCACGCTTATGATCGCCTACTTCGCTTTCATTCCTGCTGCGAAACTACGATCGTCAACCTCTCATCTAACGTCCAAACCAAATATTTTACCACATCAGTAGAATTCTAAACCTTGTATAAATGAACGGAAGGGTTTGTTAATAAGAGATACTTTCATAAAGTTCAATCCTAATATGAATTTCAACTCCAGCCTCAGCCTAACTAGCTTGATTGCCGAATTGGACTCACCAGGTCAATCCCGTTGGCGGGTGATTGCTGATGGCAGTAATCGATAGAAAACTAGCCAAGAGACAAGCAAAACGAGGCACCCGCATGGTGTGGTGGTGAGCGCGTTAGCCCCCGGAAAGGATAATAATGCGTTCGTTCCTCACCGTAAACACCTGCGGTCCGGAGTTTTGCAAATATGTCACCATTATCATGAATGCTAATAGTTTATATTATGTTACATTTGCAGGGTTTTGCTAACGAGCCGAGAAAACTAATGCCCTTCACCACTGTTTCGCCATTGTTTTGATTTTTGCATTGTGTTTCATCCAAACATTCTTGACGCATCGCTTCTAATCGATATGTGGTGGTAGCCGATCAACATTAAGCATTAAAAGATAAAGCTGTCGGCGTTGATCAATCCCTGAGGGATGCGCTATGCATTCAACTTCATTTGGAGGCGACTGAATGCATATCTGGCCTTTACAATGACTCACGGCAGCTTACCGATGTATGGAGCCAGTGCTGCTATCCTCCCAGACAGTCTGGTACCAATTTGCCAACCTCAGAGAGATGGACGGCTTGGTGAGCCGCGGACATGAGGATCGATCCTACGTGTGTGTTGCAGAGCGCCTCCGACCACTGCGCCACATTCGCCCACGCGTTAAACATTAAATAACTTTAATACATGAGCTAATTTTATGATCAGACATTCATTCACAAAGTATTTTTTATAAGTTTGCTAAGGCCATAGAAAGATTGTTGATGTTTTTCTAAATAATCGTTTCTGATTTCGCCAAAGAATGGCCGGCCTTCCGACTGATGATATCTTCGTCGAGTCCAACGAACCAATCGATACGAATTCCTAATTCCACGAGCATTCCGGCTTTCAGTATCACACTGTTCTATTAATCTCGTTCTTAGCACAATTTAGAATATAAAGAGTAGCTAGGAACTGTTCATGAATGTCGGATTGCTCTTCAGTGCAAAGCGAACGTTACTCTTCATTCGGATCGATTTTGCTAATGAATTCGCTTCACCAGACAATCGGAAGGTGATCTGACTAGGATAGCAAATAGCTTTTTGTAGTGCGTCTCATTTATCGGAGATTAGTTTTTATCGTTACATAGCGAAAAAACCGTTCTTGGAGTTCTAATGGTGGTTGTGACGAAGGTCCGAAAATATTTATACAAAGCCATTCGAAGCTATTGGGGGGAAGCTAACGGTAAAGCATCCAGTGTGAAGATTCCACAAGAAAATAGCATCACAGACAGTGGTGTAAATTCCGAATACTTTTCGGAATCCTTTTGGTTTCATGGGCGTCTACCTTTCTTATTTAAGGGAGCATGTGGCGCAGTGGTCGGAGGCGCCCTGCAACACACATGGTTGGTACCAGACTTGTTTGGGAGGATAGCAGTATTGGCTTGATACATCGGTAGGCCACCGTGAGTCATCGTAAAGGCCAGCTATGCATTCAATCACCTCCAAACGATACTTAGTGAAGTCTAATGCATGGCGCATCCCTCAGGGATTGATCAATGCCGAGAGCTTTATCCTTTTATCCTTTGTCCTAGTTTTCTCTGTTTGTCTCTGACCGTCCAGTGTTATTTCTTTTCCTTTTTTGTTTGTACCTTGGCCGGTTCATCTAGTCCGTATGTAAAGTCAAACAAGTAATTTCAGTGATTCACTCGTCATCGCTATCTTTCTACGTATTTCGCCCCCCGCACGACCATTTCTGCATTTCATGATGTCATTCTTCTCTGTAGGCCTGGCACTACCTCACATACTGTGTCCAGATTTTGAGAGATACTTTAGTGCCACCACCTAATTTGAAAGTTGCTCTCCTTCATCCATTGCTACCCCATTTTCTTCAGTTCGTTTTATTGAAATTTGTAAATGTTAAAGGGACGTTCGCAGCTAAAATGCAGTTCGTAGTGCATTTTTAGAAGCTACGAAGAGAGTGGGATTAATATGTTCAAATTTTATGCACTGTCTGTTCCTTTTCTTCTTGGCAGGCTATTGTGTGATTTATGAACACAAAGATGTTGAGATATGAGCAAAACTCGGAACCTCCGGTGGACTTAGAACCTAAGATTTGCCTTTCTGGGTACTTAACTGCCATTTACCGCACCAAAGGAGAACGCTGCCTCCCATTTCACAAGAGACCCTGCTATTAGAAAAGTAGAAGGCAAGAAATTAAACTTAAACATTGTGATTTTAACTTCAGCCTCAGCTTAACTGGATTCCGATTTGTGTTCCTCAGATCATTCTCGTTGACGAGTGATTGCTGATAGCGCAGTTAGGGTAAAAAATTAGCTCAAAGAAGAGCAGAGCCAGGGCCTCGGTTAGTGTGTTGGTAACACATCCACGAAGGGGTAATCGCGGGTTCGAAGCTCATCTGATATACCAAGCTTTGCTCATATTTCAGCATCCTGCTGCAATCATCATACTAGAGTTCGTATAGTAATATTTAGAGATCATATGAGTTCTAAAAACTTAATATTATGTGGCACATTCTATATAACTCGGGCTTGTTGGGATATATATACGTATATATGTATATATATATATATATATATATATATATATATGTATATACTCATATACATAATGCGTATAATTTCCTTTTACTTGAATGGTTCTGCCAGATGTTTCACATATGTGACGTTATTCTTTAAGAGGACTATCAATAGCGAAAACAACGATTGTGTCAAACTCGTTGTTCGTTAAGTTTTAAGTTTTTCTTCAGTTCTCTAATTTCTAGTCCTTCGCCACTCTTTACGAATTACGACTTAGTCTGTACTTTATTGCTTAACTTTATTTCAATATCTATTCATATTTTACCTAAGAGAGCATAGACTTTAGAGTTTTTTTCGTTGGTACAAAAGTGATCACATGAATTGATATCAATACATACGCACACCAGCGTGTTGTGCCATGTGTGTTGGTTCCAATGCGTATTTCTCCGGCTGTTTATTTTTCGTACAAAGTGTTTATTTCCTGCGCTTTTTTTTGAATACCCTATCCAGCACATCTGCTATTCCAGAGATGGTGCAAAGAAAGCTATTCTCTGAGTCCAATAATTTGAAGAAAAAACTTTCTTTTTGTGCAAATCTTTCGGTGTACACAGAATTGTTGCGTATGTGTTCAAAGAATACAAATGAGGATTTTAGGCCTATTCGTATGGGGTGTCCGCTCTCGTTAGCATTTTGAACATTTTGATTTGCAATTTGTCTTCACTATTCACTACTTGTGACAAGAACAATCAGATCTGTGTTTCCGAGCTTTTCTGGGAAATCCTAATTTAACGGTGACGGTCTCCAAATGCATTCCGAAGTAGTAAGTTAGCGAGAAGTGTGTCTTTACAATGCGGCTGCTGTTATTCGAAGTGCTTATGCTGTAGTTGAACGTTAGCTAAACTCGCTGTAGAGAACATTCACCGTGAAACGTTCTCCATCTTTCATCTTACTATAACTCTGTCATACAGATTCAGTGATTCTCTTAGTGGCATTTACTCTTGTCGTCTTAGCTACTATGGAAGGATAAAGCTCTGAGCGTTGATCAATCTCTGAGGGATGCGCCATGTATACGACTACATTAAGCATCGTTTGGAAGTGATTGAATGCATATCTGGCCTTTACAATGACTCCCTGTTGCCTACCGATGGATCTAGCCACTGCTGCTATCCTCCCAGACAAGTCTGGCACCAATTTGCCGACTCCGGAGAAATGGAAGGCTTGGTGGGCTATGGGCGCTGGGATCTACTTCGTGTGTGTGTCGCAGTGGCGCTTCTAACAACTGCGCCACACGCGCCCCTGTTAGCTACTATATTTCAAATAATTCTCTGTTTTCTTGGTGAGCTTGTTAACAATAGATACATTACTGGCCAATATTTCGGCGGATTTCCTTTCTTCAGAGCCGTTTTGTTCTTTCCAAGTCTTTCAGCTAATTAGTGGAGACCATCCACAGAGAGACTTATAAGGTTTAGGAAAAAAACAGAACAGAACAGCTTTAAAGAAGGCGAAACCACCGAAATGTAAGCCAGTATTGTACCTGTTGTTAACAACCTCGTGTCTGCTCAGCAAGAAAAGAGTGGATTATTAATCAGTGCCGAAGTTGACAGAAAGTGGGTCTTGGGTACTTCAAATCAATTGATACAAGAGCCATGCACTTGCCCTAGTTCGATACCTATCCATGACCACCGGGCAAGATACGCTTGGCTGTTGGCACGAGCTAGCAACCTTTTCCGCTAATCTCTGATAAATGTAGCGTCGCGCCATTTCCTCAAGTATTATTTCGCAGGCCACAGGCAACTGCGTTATTGTTAGTGCATTTCCCTACGTATCGTGCTTCTGTCCACTGAACCAACTTGCTATATAACCATGTAATTTATTGTGTCTACATTTTCGAATCTCATCGCGTGGGCGTTGTATTAATATTATTCATATAGACGGTTTAACTGCCCATGTTTGATCGATTTAGCGTAACTCTGCAAATCAAGAAAATCGGTGTATCAGAACCACTACGTAAGGACGGAATTTCGCCATACTCGCCGATTTAATCATTTTTTGAACTCAATCCATCTTTTCATTCTTCGTAGTCTGATGTTGTTCGTATGGCTTAACTAAATAATTGTTGCCCATTCTTTCGTGAGCACCATTCATTGCTGTTTCGTGTCATACTTTAGGAGCTACCACTCGTGTTAAATAGTTTGCTAACGATGGAGGAAGAGTTCCTTTAGGATCGGAATGGCTGAAATAGATAATTTGGCACCCATCGTCTTTCAATGGTCGAATGAGATATGGCGGGTAGTCCAGATAATATACTCCAATGAAAGGTTACGTTCGTGCAATCTCAATACTCTCGGCATATCTCATTCGACCGTTGAAAGACGATAGGTGTCAAATTATCTAACTCAGCCACTCCGATCCTAAAGGCACTCTTCCACAATGGTTAGTAAACAATGGGCGAGTTTCCGTGAAGAGCCGACCACTTAGTAATTTCATATGCTGATGGTCACTAAAGCGTATCATAAATGCGTAGAATTCTATCGAGATTCTCGGCGATTTGTTTGCTTTTCATTTGAGCTGCGGCAACAGTCGGCCGATCTATGCATGTCTCAATTTCTCTCATTCCAGTTCATTTACTCTTCAGTGTTCTCCCGATACTTCTCTCTATATTTACTGCTTTTATATGCAAACACTACGATTGATCATTACAAAACGGTTTTCTTTCTTAGATGGACATCAACACTGAAATTCCTGCGCCATCCAAACCAGAGCAATCGCTTGCTGATATTGGCTACGACATTCCACGTGACACAATCAGTCGAGAATTTATAAGAAGGTGGATTGGTCTAAATGTTCCCTTAAAGCAAAATACTGAAAGCTACCAAGTCCGACCTTCTATTAACCTCGGCATTAATTGAATAATTCTTTCTACTTCTGTTCAGCAAACACGAGGTGCTACTTTATTTCTTTATTTACGTACAAACTGACGAATCGGCGGATTTTGCCTTCCTCAGATCCTGGAAAGGTCAAGTTGACTGCAATCTACGCGGCCTAATACCTCCATAACCAAACAGAGAAAATGCTGAACCAAAATTTTAACCACATTGAGCACAGAGTCTTTGCACACTCACCGCTTTCTATGAGTATTCCAGTAAATATGTCACGTGGAGACCAACCGCTCAGAGTTCACACGGAATCGTATCGTGTCCATCTCATCAAAATAACAGGCTTATATACTGCCCAATATCATGCATGATGATAAGGCATTCCTCCCTGCGGTTCATTTTCGGATACTTGGAATTAATCCACAGTGCCTCTAGATTTTTGTCCGCTTGTGTTCTCGATTCTTGCGCGAGGATCTTAACCCCTACTTCAAAATCATCTCCGTTATGTCTCTGGGTCCTATGCGTGCCTAGTGGAGTATTTGGTTTACGTTTGCCGACTAGGTGTTCTTTTATACGGACACAGAGTGGTCTACCCGCTTCGCCAACGTATTCGTCCCCGCACGCTTTACAAAAGATCAGATAGACTGTACCCGAACTCATGCAGTCACCGTCTCTACCATTGGGGCAAATTATGCAATTTTGCGTTGCACATAGACGACTTAGATTACTCGGTGGTATTTCGATTATCGTTACCGAATTCTCTAGACTGGCCCTTCTTAAACAACGTTTTATAGTTGCAGTTACTTCATTTGAAATGAAGGGCAGTATAAACAGGACTTTATTGTCGCTAGAGTTTTCGTTCGGGTACCTGTGGTTTCCTCTACACCTATCTCGTGCTACAGTTTCGTAGCCATTAAAAATGGCTATTTGCCGCGCCAAGCTCCGGGACTCCTCTCTCTGCTATCTTCCTGTGCACACGCTGGTAGCTGTTCGAAACATGTTTCTCACAAGCGCCCTTCTCGCGTGAGAGGCGAGAGAGGAGAGGTAATGAACCAAGATGTTTTTACTACTTGGTTTTCGATACCATTTCGTAACGTAGCCGTTTTCTAATAGGTTAATTTGCACGTTCAGAAATGGAAGCCAGTTTTCTTTTGGTTTCTCTCGGGTGAATTTGATATACTCTGGCTGTTCGTTCAACAACTCAAAACATCTGTCAATTTCTTTTTGTGTTGAACAAATGACCAAGCAGTCATCTATATATCTACAGTAGAGTAACGGACCGAGGTCGATTACTGGCGTTTCCACCTTAAATATGAATGGAATGGCAAGGCTTGGTGCCAGTCGTTGTCCCATTGCCAGCCCTCTCATTTGTGCGTAATATCTCCCGGACCATCTGAAGATTGAGCAGTTTAGGCACTCCTTTAAGAGTGTCATCAACTGCTGAATCGAGAAGCCATACATGTTTATTGCTCCTTCGTGTTGTATGAGGAGCTCGTGGATGGCTTGCATAGCGGAGCCATTCGACACGTTCGTATAGAGGGCAGTGACGTCGAAGGAGTCCACCACGTACGCGCTGTTGGGTCTCACGTTACGTAGACGATCCAAGAACACTTGGGTGTTCGTTAGATGAGCTGGAATGTACTTCAACAACTCAGTATTAGGATTAACTACGTCATTTTATCCGTTGGCCCGTCCACGCAGATAATAATAGGTCTAACCTTAAATAACGATGGATCGGTAGACACGAGATCATCGCTGGATACTAACTTATGAGCTTTGATAAGTACAGAACAGGGCATGTTGGTAAGTCAATTTTGAGATGAGAGATAACTGATGGTTTTAACCCAGCCGCTCTTGCCACTTTAACCCATTCGTTGTTTAACTTTCGGTATTAACTTTTAAATTCCTTCTCAGATGATGGACGATAAAGGGAAGCATCTTTAAGGTGCTTTTCCGTTATGTCAACATCTAACTGATGGGGAATTACAACGAACTCTCCACCCTTATCACTAGCCGATAGTCTTATGTTTTTCGACCTTATCAGCTCTCGTACCTCCCGCATATCACGTTTTTGTATTTCAGTGAGGTTGGAGCAGTATCTTTTAGCGCGATAGTGATAAAGGACTTTGGAGGTTTCATTCGTAAACATCCGAAATTTAACATCAACTTCACTGAAAGCTACTTCACATATAGCAGTAAGACATCACCGAAAACCAGGTAGACACAGGAAACCCATTTTCAACGTGAGCATTAGAGTAGTTGAACATTTCTTGAATCACAATGCTTAACTTCTTGTCTATTGCCCATTATTTTTCACGGCATGTGAAACACAACAACAACGGTGCTGAGATATTTTCAGAACGTGGAACCTCAGGTGACCTTCGAACCAGTGATTACTCTTTCAGGGGCAATTTCTTATCCTCTGCATCATTGAGGGTGTGCTTCGCCTTTGTCTGGGCCAGTTTTTTTTATACTCTAACGGTGCTATCAAAAATGGGTAGTTGCGGTTTCGAAGCTCACTTGAAGTTCCGAGTTTCACAAATATCTCAGCATCCAAAGCCCAGCTTCTTACTAACCTCGGCGTCGATCAATAATTCAATGTTTTTTTTGGATGAGGAAACACAAGCTTGCTACCACAACATTTATTAGTAAGCAATAGGTGACGTTTCGACGGTTTGTCCTTGTTCAGAGCAGTTTTGCTCTTTGTAAGTCCTCCAGTTATTTAGCGGGGATGAGCCGCACAAGGTCTTAAATGAGCGACTAATAAGCAGAAAGAATTACAAAGAACAAAATGGGTCTGATGAAGGCGAAACTGCTGAAACTTCAGGTATTGTGTGTTGATAAATGCTGTTGTAACAACTTCGCGTTTACTGACCAAGAAAAACAGTGAATTATCTAAGAATCGTTGTGATTGTAATCTCTGGAACTGGAATCTCTCACTAAGAAGATGAGATCTACGGAAGAACAGCAAATCATAAAATAGATGGATAAATCAACATTGTCATTGATTCCAGTGCAAAAACAGCTCGTCAGCTACATTCTCAGTACCCTCGTGATGAAGGTCTTCGATATCTGATGCCGTCACCGTCGTCATCAGCATCGAAATTGGTCTGCGAATCGCCACGAATAATCATTTCGTGAGTCACTCATTGATATTGCAGTAGTCCCTTCAGTCATCGAAACGTCAAGCAGAGTTTCAGTTCTAACCAGTATACGACTTAATTTTCATGATTTCAACTGTTTACAAATCTTAACTTTTTTTATTCACGGTCTATTACAATTTTTAACGGCAGGGTGTTACGTGTGACACAACCACAATGATGCTGAGATAACTCGAAAGACCGACTTTCTATGAACCTCGGCATAAATAGTTGATATATTTATTTATGAGATCTTATAAACTGATCTTCTTAAGCTGACGCGAGGTTGGTACAGATCTTCGTTGTCGTTGTCGTTGTCGTTGTTTTTGATGTTATTGATCGATGGCTGACGTTTCGGCGACTTCGCCTTCCTCAGAGCCTGGACGTACTTTATGTTAGAATACTTTTTATTATTTTTTTTTTTTTTTTTTTTTGGTATTAATGAAGATCAAACTTTCAAATAGACGCCATATTGAACAGAAAGGCCACTCACCGT